AGAATCCTCTTTTGGCCCAAGAGCCGTCGCCAGAAACAGACAGAATATTCTCTGGTTCTCCTCGTTTCTTGTTTTCGAGTTGCTCTTCGGTGACGGCTTTATGYGACACTACGTTAAAAACAGTATTGACCGCGATTAGTATAAAGTCAACGATTCCATAATATGCAGAGATACTTAAACCTTTTCCGAGGTCCATAAGGTTGCAAAACATATTTATACCATGCACACCAATACCAAAAAACCTTTCCAAAAAAAAGAATATAGCGAAAAAAACTGAATACTAGTTTTGTTTTCCTACACCATTCTGAATAATATGCAGAGACATTTCCACTTAAACAACCGTTTATGGTTTGTCTCCTCTCTCTGTAATATCTCTGTGTTTGGGTCGCAAAATAATATACTTAGACTGCTCGGATCGTTCAAAAATTTTTGTATGATAATTCTACATATGTCTACTTTCGAAAAATGCAAAAAAAAAAAAATTAATTTTTTCAAAATTATAAACCAGAATGAACCCTTAATACTAATTTTTCAATAAAATAGAAACATTTTTAAATAGAAAAGATATGACACGTTGTAAAAAAAACTATAGGCATGAATATTATCGTATCGATAATAAAGATAATAAATGTAGATCGAATTTCAACAGACCTTCCCTGTTTTTTATATTTTTTTTTCATGAAAAGGAACCGACCTTGGGATATAGGTAGCTGACAAAAACTAATATTTTCAAAATTCTATCCATCAAAATGGAATACTGAATGCGATAGCCATAGATAGAGACGAAATATGTAGAATATTTGTCGACAGAAAGATACGCCGTCCTAATCTAAGTAAATATAATATATATTTTTTTGAAACTCAGGTAGATGAATTTTTTTTCTCTTACACTTTTCACACTTTCTGTGAATGAGAGATATCTTTATCATGGGTTAGCATACACAAGTATTTCTTTTTGTGTTGCAACTAATAACTGAGAACCTTCGTTTAGTCTAGCAGTATTTTCCATATGTTTCTCGTAATGTCTTTATTTCATCTATCCTAAAATGTTTGTTATATAGCGCAAGAATGTAGATGAATACGGGAAATAGAAAACCATACTACAAAAAAAATTTTATACCTGAGTTTCAAAAAAAGGATTATTTATATTTACTTAATTTCTGACGAATTATATTTCCTTTGATAAACATTCTACGATTTTGGTGACTATTTATAACTATCGCATTCAGCATTCGGTTTTATTGCTCGAATTGTGAAAAGTGCACTTTTTATCAGCTATTCCACCCAGAGACCATACCGGTGACCTTTATTATGTATAGTAATAATATTATAATAAATAAAT